ACCATCCCCGCTGTCAAACATGGAGGTGGAAACATTATGCTTTGGGGGTGTTTTTCTGCTAAGGGGACAGGACAACTTCACCGCATCAAAGGGACGATGGACGGGGCCATGTACCGTCAAATCGTGGGTGAGAACCTCCTTCCCTCAGCCCAGGGCATTGAAAATGGGTCGTGGATGGGTATTCCAGCATGACAATGACCCAAAACACAAAGCCAAGGCAACAAAAAAGTGGCTCAAGAAGAAGCACATTAAGGTCCTGGAGTGGCCTAGCCAGTCTCCAGACCTTAATCCCATAGAAAATCTGTGGAGGGAGCTGAAGGTTCGAGTTGCCAAACGTCAGCCTCGAAACCTTAATGACTTGGAGAAGATCTGCAAAGAGCAGTAGGACAAAATCCCTCCTGAGATGTGTGCAAACCTGGTGGCCAACTACAAGAAACGTCTGACCTCTGTGATTGCCAACAAGGGTGTTGCCACCAAGTCCTAAGTCATGTTTTGCAAAGGGGTCAAATACTTATTTCCTCATTAAAATGCAAATCAATTTATAAAAATTTTGACATGCGTTTTTCTGGATTTTGTTGTTGTTATTCTGTCTCTCACTGTTCAAATAAACCTAACATTTAAATTATAGACTGATCATTTCTTTGTCAGTGGGCAAACGTACAAAATCAGCAGGGGATCAAATACTTTTTTCCCTCACTGTACACTATTTGTGAAACAGACTAAACCCGCTTCATTATTCTACTTTTTAATTTACACTGAATGCACTATCCAGGACATACCATTGTGACCTCTCCTTAATATCCAATCTGATATCACTTCATGCAAGAATAAATCTACATTTGGCCCTATTCATCCATAAAATCCTTCTTGGCAAATCTGCATTATACTTTGTGAATTAATTAACCCCATTGTCAAACCCAATAACTTAAGACGTCAATATAAATGCATTTTACTATCTGTAGAACAAGAATTGGAATCGGTGACAAAGCCTTTGCCGTTACAGGACCAACAACCTTCTTTCCTCCGTTAACAAAGTAAGTCTTCCTCCTAAAAAATATCCTGAAGCAGAAGATTCGTGGCAGATGCAGCAACATTTGCCAATGTGATTTGTAATGATGAACCCTGTCCATATATCTATAGTTACATGTTAATTTCCAATGTAATCATTGGACTGTTGTCTCAACGTGGTATCGTTTGTTTTCTGCTTTGCCCAAGCTTGCATTTGGTGTTGACAAATCGGCAGGAATCCATATACTTGTGCAATTTGTACCGATATACTTTGTTTATATTTATTTATTTATAGCGATTTGTTTACCTTTTCTCTATGTTGCGCTTATGTCATTTTTTATTTTTTGTTGCTATAGCTTTCTGATCCAACCCAACTGCACATCTGTGAAAAAGAGCTTAATAGCTCATTGGATTCCTGCAGTTTAAATAAGGATTTTGATTCTGACCCCCCAATGCGGTAGTTAAGGTTGTGGTTATACTCTGGTGGTTGGGGTAATAAGGTAGTGGTTATCGTTAGGATGTAATGGTTGAGATTATAATGTTGTTGTGGTTATTTATATGGCTGTAGTAGTTATAACATGGTTCATTATATGCTTCTTGAGAATAGGTGTTCCCATTTTTTCTGGCAACAAAACAGGTGGTAAGATGTTAAAACACCAAACTGAAACCTTTTACAAGGAATCATGTCTGCATTAACCACAATACTTGTGGTCAGAATGCAAACAAAAAACGTACGTAATATATGCAATATGGGCATTGTTATAATGTGGTTATGGTTGTAGGTGTTATGGTCGTGGTTATGTTATGGTTATATTCCGGCTGTTGTGGTTATAATGTGATTATGATGCAGTTATTGTTGTTATAGTAGAGGTTATGTTGTGATTTCAGATGTTGTAATTGTACAGCTGTCTTGGTGACGAGGGTCCTGTTGGATGAGAAGAGGGATCTGTGTTAGATGAGACGAGGGTTCTGTGTTGGATGAGACGTGGCTTCTGTGTTGGATGAGACGTGGGTTCTGTGTTAGATGAGACGTGGGTTCTGTGTTGGATGAGACGAGGGTTCTGTGTTGGATGAGACGTGGGTTCTGTGTTAGATGAGACGTGGGTTCTGTGTTGGATGAGACGTGGGTTATGTGATAGATGAGACGAGGGTTCTGTGTTAGATGAGACGTGGGTTCTGTGTTAGATGAGACGTGGGTTCTGTGTTAGATGAGACGAGGGTTCTGTGTTGGATGAGACGTGGGTTCTGTGTTAGATGAGACGTGGGTTCTGTGTTGGATGAGACGTGGGTTCTGTGTTGGATGAGACGTGGGTTCTGTGTTGGATGAGACGTGGGTTCTGTGTTGGATGAGACGAGGGTTCTGTGTTGAATGAGACGTGGGTTCTGTGTTAGATGAGACGTGGGTCCTGTGTTGGTTGAGACGTGGGTTCTGTGTTAGATGAGACGTGGGTTCTGTGTTGGATGAGACGTGGGTTCTGTGTTGGATGAGACGAGGGTTCTGTGTTGAATGAAACGAGAGTTCTGTGTTAGATGAGACGTGGGTTCTGTGTTGGATGAGACGAGGGTTCTGTGTTGGATGAGACGTGGGTTCTGTGTTGGATGAGACGAGGGTTCTGTGTTTGATCAGACGAGGGTTCTGTGTTAGATGAGACGTGGGTTCTATGTTGGATGAGACGTGGGTTCTGTGTTGGATGAGACGAGGGTTCTGTGTTAGATGAGACGTGGGTTCTGTGTTGAATGAGACGTGGGTTCTGTGTTAGATGAGACGTGGGTTCTGTGTTGGATGAGACGTGGGTTCTGTGTTGGATGAGACGAGGGTTCTGTGTTGAATGAAACGAAAGTTCTGTGTTAGATGAGACGTGGGTTCTGTGTTGGATGAGACAAGGGTTCTGTGTTGGATGAGACATGGGTTCTGTGTTGGATGAGACGAGGGTTCTGTGTTTGATCAGACGAGGGTTCTGTGTTAGATGAGACGTGGGTTCTGTGTTGGATGAGACGTGGGTTCTGTGCTAGATGAGACGTGGGTTCTGTGTTGAATGAGACGAGGGATCTGTGTTGGATGAGACGAGGGTTCTGTGTTGGATGAGACGTGGGTTCTGTGTTGGATGAGACGTGGGTTCCGTGTTAGTGAGACGTGGGTTCTGTGTTAGATGAGACGTGGGTTCTGTGTTGGATGAGACGTGGGTTCTGTGTTGGATGAGACGTGGGTTCTGTGTTGGATGAGACGTGGGTTCTGTGTTAGATGAGACGTGGGTTCTGTGTTGGATGAGACGAGGATTCTGTGTTGGATGAGACAAGTACTTTAGCCTGTACTGGATGAGTTGATGGTTTTGCATTGAATGAGATGAGGATTATCTATCAGGTAATATGAAGGTTCTGTATGGGAAGTGTTCTGTATTGGATGAGGTTCTGTATTCCATATTCTGAGGATTCAGTTTTCTATGAGACGAGGGTTCTGTGTCGATGAGGGTTGTGTGTTGGATGACATGAAGGTTCTGTGTCGGATAAGATGAGGGTCCTGTTGGATGAGGGTTCTGTGTTGAATAACACGATGGTTCTGTTGGATAAGACAAGGGTTACGTCGGATGAGATGAGGGTTCTGTGTTAGATGAGACAAGCGGCCTGTATTGTAATGTATTTTTTAAAAGGCCGTTATAACAACCTCTATAACATGGCCTTTTGGTTAATGCAATTGGCAAATTATGGCCACTTTTCTACTTACGAAATCTAATTTCCTTGTTAACGAAATTTCACATGGTACATTCCATGAGATCAAACAAGAACTACCTGGGATGCTGCGTCATCTATCTTCTAAAATTTCCCGGTATCCCTATAGTGCAGTGCAACAGTGACGCCTCCACATCACCTTTCCAGTCATTCCAACATGCAGATCTTTTGGTGAGTTACCTGAAAAGGTTAATATATTTGTATTATTCTATCATTATAATATTTCTGTTCTTTATTATTATCGTGAAAAGTGACATAAGTGTATATTTATAGGTTAGGAATAGAGTTGGAATGACTGTCCGAAACACATTCCTCTTTTTTTCTATTAAATGAATGGGAAAAGCCATTCCGATTTACGAAATGTTGTTTTACGTGCGTTTTTTTTAAGGAATGCATCCTTCTCATAAATCGAGAGATACCTGTGTAGTGACATCGCTGGATGTCACCATGCTGTGGGTGCAGTACCGGCCCTGGAGGGGCACGGTGTGCGGTTTAGCGACATCGCGGATACCACAATGGTGTGGGTGTAGTACCGGCCCTAGAGGGGCCCGGTGTGCGCTAAATAATAGCGCTGGATGGCACCACGCTTCACGTGCAGTGCCGACCCTACAGGACAGGGTGGGTGGGTGCCGACCGAAGGATAGGGTTGTGTGAGGCCATGGCACTCTGGTTGACCAGGGAGGACACGTGACTGGTTAAGTTGACAGAGGGGCCCCAAGAGGGGGCTAGGAAGGGGGGGGGGGGGTCACGTGATTGGGACCCAGATCCTTCCCGAGGATTCTGGAAGGTGGACGTGGCCAAGGGTGGAGCCGGCCACGCCACAGAGAATATAAGCCGGGTCCCGGGAGGTACCGGGGTTGTTGTTGTTCATCCTGGAAGAAACCCTTCGTCTACGATCTCCGTTCAACGAGTCTCCAACACGTGGACCTGGGCCAAAGTCGTTGGTCCCGGTCCGTTGTAACAGTTACGTAGTAACTAGTGTAGTAACTAGTGTAGTAACTAGTGTGGTAACTAGTGTAGTTAGCCTGGTGGTCACCACCTTAGGTTGTAATTCTGTTAAGGGGAATGTTACCCCGTGTGTTGGAACTAAATAAATGTGTTGCCTCCAAGGTTTACGGCTGCGACACAGTTGAACCCATTACACCTGTATTGGGAAGTCCTCTCTACCCCGGTATATATATACAGTATGCATTAAGTCGCCTTGCTACGTTCGACATTCATGAATTCCCCCAGGAATTTGTTTTCTCCCATTTCAACCCCAGACTGTATATGGAGTACTCTTGCCAATAACAACTTGTAACCCAGCCGCAACTGTTTTGCACGCATTTCTCTACTGATCCATTCGTTTGAAACCGGGCCAGGGTTTTCCATTATTGGTCCGGAGAGTCGATGTACTGTAATAATGCAGTCTACAGAACGTTACGTTTTGTGTAATAATTAAATACACGTGTTGGTCCAAACTTTCACCAAGGGGGGATGTCCATTTTGTGCGGCAGAGCGGAGCCGTGCACTTGGGTTTCCCTCTCTTCCCTCGTCTCTCTCTCTCTCTCCCAGTCACAAGGGTGAGAGAGAGAGAAGTAGCGTGACGACCCCTTCCCGACTCATTCCACGCAGGGTCATCCATGCGCCACCGGGAGGGTGCATCTCAATCCATCGCTCGCCCCGTGCTGCTGCTGCTGCTTGCTGCTTGCTGCTCGCCGCGGTAGCAGCAGCGAGCATCATCATCATCAGCAGCAGCACGCGCAGCAGCACGCGCTGATGATGATGCCGGTGCTGATGCCGCTGCGCTCTTCCTCCAGCGCGCGCGCTGACGTTCTTCTCTCAGAGATGGAAAGGCAGGACGAAGAGGAAGAAGAAGAAGGTGAGTTAAACAAAAAAAATTGTACCTACCGCACAGGCCTCTCCATTCGTTTAATTTCACGGGACGCGCTTTTGATCCTCGGTTGACACACAAAAACCGATGTAACCGTTCGTTTAAGCTTTCGCGATTTTAAATCGGAATTAATTATCAGTCCATACGCAACACATACAGTGCATTACATACAGCACCTTAAACGTAAACAATGCCGTTAGTGTGTGTGTATATATCCAATCGCATAAAACACGTTGACCTGCAGAATAAACAGACCTTTGCTTACATAGAACGGGAAATTCACGCATACACATGTACAATACACGTAACCACAGACCTACAATCTCTCCATTGTAGCTATTTACGAACAATATCCATACATACACACGGGCCTATATCACGACATGTACTGGGATTGTGCATCACAAACGACGTAATTCACGTGTACGTTACACACGCGCAAACGCACACCAGACCGTGCGCAGATGCGCTAACACAACTACGTACGCGCAACGCATCCATCCATCCGTACACACACGGAGACAGAGAGTGTGTACACACATAAACACACGCGATACACGGGCACAAACACCCTACGTGACACGCACCACCACCACCACCCCCCCCTGTGCACACAGCTCACGTCGCTTCCACCACCACCACCACCACCCGCCCCCTGCCAAGCCTCCAGCTCCCTCCCCAGAGCGGGAGGGCTAAGCCAGTATATAATCAAATAATAATAATAAATGTTCGGCTCCCTAAACGCAGCACCAGCCGTTGTTGTTGTTGTTTTGTATTAATAGCGCGTTGCGAAATGGCTAAAGCGTGCACACTTGCACCGGCGTGTGTGGTGACACGAGGGGACGTTGCGTACGTGCGGCGCAACAACAACAACAATAATGATGATGATGATGATTGCCGATCATCATCATCATCGTCGACGCCGACGAGTGATCGTTACGAGCGTCATTGGGCAGCGTAACGCCGATGATGTTACAGCCATTAAGCGCGCTTCAGCCTTTATTATAAAAGTTGCTTCTTTTCGTTCTCATCTCCCCCAGGGTAGCCTCATCGCCGTCGCTCGCCGTCAAGCCGGCGGCCGCTTTCGTTCTTTCTTTTTTTCAGCGCAAAAGAAACGGCAAATCGATGTGGCACTGACGCGGCTGCTTTGCGGTGATGCACATCCCGTCGCCTCGGCATTAACGTAATAGACCGCCTGCGTGGCAGCCTCCCGAGCGGCGTCGAAATCCCAAAAGCGAGAAAGCGAGTGGGCGATTTCATGAGCGGGCTCAGCTCCTCTCGTCACAAAAATGACCTCCTTGCGTATTCACGAGGAGGTGGATGTAAGCCGGCGGAGAGGGAGGGGAGAGAGGCTTACGTCCGGAGCGTGCCTTTGGCTGGCCCCGTACCTGTCAAGAAATTCTCTCGGATGTATGTGAAGAAATCGATGGGAGTCTCGCACACCGCGAAGGCAGATAAATACGCGCGGACAAAAGCGTCTGTCGTCGGCGGAACGACTGCGCGCAATCGATACCCGGTAAACGATGAAGAGGAATGCGTTGTGTGCATTTGCTATTGTGCTTTGATATTACTGATATATTACTGTATTCATAGCTTCGAACGAGGGAATACGTTGAGCAGACCGTGACCATCACATTTAAATCCGCCTGCTTCACACCAAGCTAATTGCTTCTGGCACACACACGCACACAAAATAAAATAAAACGCCACGAGGCAAGCTGAGGACTCCACGATGTCTACTCGAATAAAACCCCAAGCTCACATCATCCAGCCAGGATCGCAAGCTGTGCGAGCGCAAATATCTGTTGTCGTTGCTCAAATGGAGAAGGTCCTCAAAGAACTGAAAGAGGTGGCAATGGAACTCAGAGAGGTGAGGTTTATTTGCATTCACCGTTTCGTGCCATTTGCAGTGTTTTGGTTCTATGCGATCGGAGCTTCATCAGAGATTACCTACGATTGGCCCTTCATTACATATGCGGGGTTTACGGTGGTTATGGACTGCATTAATGATTTAAAAACCAATCAAAAACACACTCAGTTTTATAACCTTGTAAAGAGCTATAATGTGTGTTTAGTGTTCATTTTATACGAGGTGTATGTAAGCTAATAGATTGAATTTAACCATTCAACGTCAAAATTTACACGGATATGCAACCGAAGGCATCCAATTAAAACTATACAATCCATCTACGAGACGCGCGCAGTGCAGTGTGTTAAATGACGGGTATGGTTTAGTTATGTTTTCACGTATTTTAAATTAAGCACAAATTTGCAAAGTGTATCCCATTATTCCTCTTGCCCAGGAATAACTGTAGTCACATATGTTTAATACACGTGGTAACAGTTCTCAACTCACGGTTGAAATGTCAGTTAAATGCACATTTCCGGGTCACTCAACGCTATGGTGCAGATAAAATTAATAGTCTTGTGATGGAATTCAGCAATGGTTATCCCTGGAGAAATTGGCATCACCATGTGAATGTGGAATTTTCACGACTGGCCCTGGCCAGCAATGGTATATAGGAAGTCCGCAATGCTTATTTGGTCATGTAGATTGTAGACACTGACTCTAAAATATATGGGCTTTGCATGTTTATCCATGTTTCCTAAAAAAAAATTGTCTAGTAATACAGCAGTATTGGGGAGGAAAATGGGCTTAATTTTAGGGAATTTTGATTTGATATCGCAATGCCTAAAAATCATGTTTACCTGGAACATATTTAATGCAAAAAACTAAAATGCAACAAGAGATTGGACATTTCCACTCTTTGACGTTATGTGTGTCAACAAATTTTGTACCTGAAATTAATGAAAGTGGAAAGCAGTTCGTATATTTGGCAAAGTAACTTGTTTTCGTATTGTGACTTTTTCCATTTGTTGCATTGTCACAGAAAATGTAAGTGGTTTCATTCATAAATCCTGTATATGACACTGCAGTGCTAGCATAAGGTTTAAGATGATTGTTGCTGAACTCTGCAGGTCATCGCGCAGATTGACAAACTTACTGCCAACTTACATTTGGAGGAGGAAGACAATGACAGTGAATCTGTCTCCTCCAGCGACGTGTCCTGGTCCAACATAACAGGCCTCTACTTTGAAGAACGGACAATTACCACCAGCACTGCGTCTACGTCGGCAGTTGTATCAGTGACCAGGTCTTACCAGTCACAAAGGACTAGTTTTATGGCTCTCGATGTAGCAAAGGATGCTACCTCAACCAGCAATGCATCAACAGCTCCTGCTCACCAACAGACTCCATATTCTTTTTATGAAACTCAGACAGTAAATGAAACTGTGGATAAGAAACATTGTACCACGTCGTCACAAACTGATTTTCAAGTAAGTTATTGCTCTGGAGACCTTCAGGCCACCTCGAAGGTTAAAGTCGAAACTGCATCACAACTTTCAGCGATAAGCGAGCCGAAACACAAATCCAAGGTTCTGGGTAAAACAACACGTTCTCATGTCCTATTAAGCAATATTCGAAACCCTGAACATTGCCAGCAAGCACTGCGAGGGTCTGATCATATTAATGTGACCAATGACTGTAATACTGGATCGCCACCTCCCAATGACACGGAGAATTCTGAATCCAGAAGGGTAGATTCAACCTCTCCCAAACACACGTTTTTGAAGAACAACCGTGTCGCTTTTGCAAATGGCTCATTGCTGTTAAATGGCATGTTGAAAAGCGTGGGAAATCAAGAGTTAAGCGACGGAGTCCCCAACCACTCTGGAGAGTTTACAACAATAACAAGGAGTTGCTACAGTGCGGTGTCCCGAGACCGAATGAAGAGAGACAACTTCACCCAGACCACCAAAGAACGGGTTCGATTTAGCGACACGGTTGAATATCACAGGTTTTGTCCAGAACTTGAAAGGACTATACAGGTCCACCGTGTGCAAGTGTTTTTTGGTTCAAAGAATGTGCCAGTGCGTTCCTCTTCCTTAAAAACAGAACATCCAAATAGCATCAGTACACGCGCTTTTGTGAACGCAAGCACACAAACTGTGTCCTTTCTCAAAGAAGATGCTAAACCCAAAACCATACTGAGAAAGTCATTTTCCAGTAAGTGACTGCTCATTTTGTTGATGTACATATCAGTAATGAATTATGGCACAAGAACTCAGGGAGTTTATAGCATGTTATGAAATTTCTACATGACGAAAATATAATTACTATTGTATATATAGATGTTATTTTATCTTCTAAATTGCTTAAATATTTTATTACATTTCCCTGATTATTTTACACATCATAACCCATAAAAAATAAGCACATCCATTAATGACCGTAGATTAAGTGAAATATGAATATAATATAGAAATATTTTTTTAAATATATCTTTTCATGACTCAGTGTTATATGAATTATAAAAAGTGCAATCATTCCTAAATCTATTATTATCATTCAGTGACAAAATGGCCTTATTTTATTGTGATTTTAGGCTGTGTGCGAGAGTGACCAATGATTCCAAATTGTTGCTGCAGTGTATAGGATGAGGATGCTATGTGTACAGATGATAGTGATAATGCATTTTTACAATGAGATGAATAAACATGAAAAATAAGGCGGTTAAGATGTAGATTCAGACAGCGGATGTAAAACTGGTTGTCGTGTGCATGAGGGACAGAGCAGTGAATTGATACTCAATAACACACAGTAAAAATAACATCACTTACAGTATTAAGGCCAACCCCTTTCTCCCCTTCGCAACATCCATTAGACTCTTCACACGCTCTGCATCCCCAAGCAATTGTCTTCATCATGATGCCCCATATGTGATGTGTACGTGACATGACAGTCTTCATGAAGCTGCATGTGTGCAGAAATTACATCGTTGTAGTGGTTGTTTTGTGCAAGATTCATTATATTATAGCAAATACCATGACTAAACACAAAACTATGATGATGGGCTGTTACCTTTTCTTCCTGCTTATGAACATGAGAATAACAGTGTGAGAAAAGCTCTGATCACAATTTAGACAACTTAACATGACTATTATTAACCGTGGTGGAAAGAAAATAGTTGAGTAGGCAATATGTCCCTGTCATTTTTATATTTTTACACGTAACATATGAAAGTATTTTTTTACACAATCCAAGAGCCCCACGGCCTTCTATGAGCATGGAGCCATTCCAAGCAAAGTGGACGATTTTGGATTGACAGTATATCATCAGCATTGAGGCTTGCTCGAATCAATGCTGGTGAATTGTCAGATGTTCCAGGCAAGGACCTTCTCTTTAAGATATGGGTCGGAGTTCGACGCAAAATTATAACACGAAATAATCACGAGCGTCGTTGTGGAGAATATAAGTAACGATATCGATCAGCAGAATGTGTCCTGCGTGTCTGTCCCTCCACAACGACGCACATGACTATTTTGTCTGATGTAAACGTATATTTAAACTTTCCATAATAGAGGTTTTTTGGGTTAGATTGCATAAATATATAAATGTGTCGTTAAACCCGCTACCACCCGACACAGCTAATTAGTAAGGGTTGTCACGTAAACAGAACATGCCAATTCGTTACTAGTACAGCACACCGGTGTGTTGAAACAGAACATGCCAATTCGTTAGGAGTCCAACACACCGGTGTGTTACAACCCTTACTAATTGGCTTGTCGGGTGGTGGCGGGTTTAACGACACATTTATTTACGTGATCTAACCCAAAAAAAACCTGTATTATGGATGATATTGGTCCCGAAAGCCTACGTGTTAGTCTATTTTAACTCTATTTAAAAAACAGGTCCAGGTGGATTTTTGCGAGATAATTGATTGATATTGGAAAATAAAGTGGACAAATCCACCTCAGTGCCACTAAAATAGAGGAAATTAATATAGGAAGCAGGGTTTCTGCATAGTTTGCACAGTAAAAATAAGCAACAACGAATCAAGAATAATCATTCCATCCACAAGTCTTTATATGCATTTATTTATATATATGCTGGCCTATATTTGCGCATTGTTGTCAGTGTGAGTGTAAATATGTTCAATTAAATGTTTTGTTCCAACATCAACGGATGCAATGATGATGTGTGAAAGGGGACCTGAAATAGTAGGGATGCTGGTTCATGGAGGACAGGCTGGTAAGGTACCCTACCCATATTTACGTGGGTGGTGTGAAATTCGCCTTTCACCTCAATCAATATTTTATGGCCGCCATGTGTGCTAAGCAGCACAGGGTCAGGATCAGTCCCTGCTTGCCCCCTGCGTGTTTGAATTTCCTGTGTCTCACACCACCTATGCCTCCTGACACTCCTCCCCATTGTCAACACAATCCCTCCAACATCAGACCTACCAATGTGCTCCTCACCCCCCTTACCAGGCTTTCCATCGGTTCATCTAACCACTCTTCCAGTCACCAGACTGCATATGGCGTCTCCAGGTCTTTCCCCAGTATTGAGGCCACCATCAGGTCTCCATTTATTTTCGGAAACCCTTTAGTCTCCAGAACCCGTTCAGTATAAATTACAGATCCACTTCTTTTTCATTTTCATATAGTCCACAGAGCCCCCGATATTGTGTTACCAGTCCTTCGTTGTCGTCAAAGCTCTCTATGGCATCTCATCACCCATCAAGCCTTCCCAGCCCCATACAGTCCCCAGACCCCGCCTATATCCTTATCTTCCCCTCATAATTACTGCACCCTATTAATAGTAGCAATGCTACACTCTTCTATCTCTCCTTGCCATCCACCATTTTCCAATTGTAATTTGCTTTCTGGCAACAATGGGCCTATAAGGTATAATGGTAATGATAGTCATGAGGAAATCACTAATCATTAAGTGATGGTGCTTACATTGGTAAATTATTTTATACTTTAATGATGTGTGTTTTCTCAAATGTGCTCATACATGTTTTGATTCTACCAAAACCATTTTAGCATGCACCATGCAAACACATTGTATCTCACTATACAGAGGGCCTAATTCATGTGTTAACAGAAACTGCATTTCCTTCAACGTGTATTTAAATACGACCTATAAGTTGGTGGGAAAGTGACAGAAAATCATCTAAAGCTTCTCCGTCAAGCACACGTTTTTCTGCATGCATACAGATGTTTTTTACTATTATTTAAAACAAATGAAAAGCTATGGCTTGGTATTACCAAGATTGTGATTAAAAGTACCACCAGTTCAAAATGTATGTCTCCACTTGAAACTGATTTATTCCGCCGGATGGGTACTCTCAGTAGGAAAGGTTTGTGAAGGCATGTTGAGTCTTTTCATCCTATTTATGTCATCAGGCAAAACATATTTTTGTCATGACTGGTAAAAAATATATATAACCAGGAAAAAATAAGTTTACGTCTCAAAGAAAGTTATGTTTACTGACAGAAACCTCATCATGAAAATGCAAAGTACCCTAATGGGCTGTAATTATCCTCCCCCATGATATATATGTATAAACACTGGACATGAGAAAGGTTGTGTTGTAGTGATCAGCAATGGCAAATTGGATTAAATTCCTGGCTGAAAACAACCCCAATGTCAATTCGTGTTGTTCCAGGCTATACGAGGCATCTCTGTTTTTTGTGTGTGTGTGTGAAAGTGAGTGTGTGCGCGGGTGCCCCCACGTGTGTGTTTGTGGGGAGCGGTAGTGCAATGGTAAATGTGCCGGTCAAAAGTGGCCGGGCGTGGTGCTGCCCGCTCACCCCCTCGTATGTGCTATTGTGGTGACTCATTTCACCCCTTCCGACAATCAAGCTAGCATCAGGACTCAAGGTAAGTGAAAATATAACTTAATTTGTTCTATTCATGTTACTTTATTTAATGTTCTATATACTATAGAGTATTTATTATAACATTACATGCAAATGTACAATATTATTTCTGAGTTTAATAATGCTTCCCTTCTTTGTAAGAACCGTAACACATTTCAAAACATACCGTATGGGCATTCAAATACAGTACATTATTGTGTTCCGACTAACGAATCATTTGACTTGCGAACGGGTCTCAGGAACGAATTATGTTTGTAAGTCGAGGACTGCCGGGACTCATCAACACAATCGTCGGCAATTGTGGAACGTGCCTGGCAACAAGGACATTCGAATACTTTTTATAACTTTGATATATGTAAAATTAATTACTATTGGCCACGATTATGTGGAGGATTTATTAAAATTGAGAGAAATAAAAGTCAATTCTACAAATCTGACAACTATCGGCTCAGTGCAGATAGGAAATGCATTATTAGGTCATCAAATTACAACCTCAAAAGAATAGCATATTTACATTAATTTAAACTAACAGCATTTTTATATTACAAACCATTTAGTACTGGATAATTAATGACTCACCTGTATCACCACATGAGTAGATGTACTTTCAATTTAACACATCTAACAATTTATTGTACTCTTACATAATTTAACCTCTAGATATGACTGCTACTTCCTGCTCAGTTGTGGGGTTGTGTTGATGACATCACACCACCTATTTAAGGTGCAGAATTGGAGATTTTAATAATTATGGCAATCACCTAATGATGCTGGTGGCAAGTAACAGCGAAACGTCAAACTAAATTATTATATGTGGATTTATCTACAAAATATCAGTGTAATAAATAATACATTTGTTCACGTGACAATGTTATTTGGCTATTCCAGGTAGAGGATGATGACTTTTTGCTGCACCGTACGTAGCCAACCATGCGAATCGGAGATGGGGATATGATACACATGCTAATCGGAGGTGTATGACACACATTGGCATTTTACTCATGATGTGACCCAAAAATCAATTATGAATCAATATCAAATATATTCAAAGTGACAATAAATATTAGTAGACATAGTAAAAAATATATTTTCAAAGAAAGTAAAACCATAACTTGCTTAACTTATACAGTTTAATAATCAACGACATTGTTGTCATCACACCTACTTGTGAAGCAAGCAGACAATACGAATAAATAACCAACAATGGCGAGTACAAATGTATTTTTTAATAGAAAGTTGCTGATGGAGGTCGACGTCTACAGTATTGTGAACCTAATCACGTTCAGCAATTCAGATTTAACCCATGTGGGGTACAAAGAATGAGGCAAAGTCCTTTGTGCAGCAGGGGAACAAGGAAATACAACTCACGTTCAAATACAAGTATCGGTACCATGAGTAGATCAACAGATGGCATAATATGAAAAATAACTCCAAAATATCATTGACCATGGTACTGATCGAAGAGACAAAGAGGGGCAACAAAGTGCTGATGAGATAAGTGATAAAATAGAAGAGTACAGGGCTGAATCATGAAAGGGCAAGCACGTTTTTTATTGGCTTCTATTGCACAGTTTTAGTGTTGACTAAAGCACCATCTAAAATGTGAGAAGCATTATTTAGTCTTGGGTAGACCATTGATCTGCAGAACTATAGGAGTTGCTGCTTCCTCAATGGAGATTTTGGTCCCAAATCATGCAGCTTTTTTAGAATAATTCGGCAACTTTTAATAAGATATAGTTTTTTGCATAAAATAATACCCATAACCACTAACTGCAAGAATGGAATGGCCAACAGTGGGCAGGCTTAGAGGGCAGAGTTAGGCCTTGGCCATGATGCGGAA